AATATATTAGTGGTTCAATAGTAATACTGTAATAGTAAGAGATTAGATCAATAGTAAGATATAATTTAAGAATACAGAAGTAAAATGTATAAAATAAAGATGTAATAAAAATTTTTAAATAATTTATTAAAAATATTTAAAAAAAGTTAATTCTTTTAAAATATTAATTTTTTATTATAAATATAAAATGATATATTTAACAATTACAGAATTAAAAAATTTAACCAAAACCACACCACCTATTTATTTCTCATTACTAATATTAATGATGTTTTCATTCAATATACTTCTAATCTCTCAAAGAATATTTATTAATTCGTTACGGGATTTACTTGACAAGCACCGGAAACGTGAACGATTAGAATCACCTAAAGAAGGAATTAAAGAGTTAATAATAGATAAAATCTCTAATTTTTTTAAAGAACTTTCAGTCTTTTAAAGATCTACCTCTTCACACGTTATAGGTATTGGATGCCAAATATCTAATGCTATCTTGTTAATTAGTTTCGCTTTAATAAGTTCAATTCTCTTCGTATGTGCGATTTTACTAAATTGCTTCATTTTTTCACTTAGCGTCCATTCTCTACTTATATTTTGAAAACCACAGTTATCAGTGCTTAGATTTATGAATTGAGTTTTTCTTATTCGAGCCCAAAAACGACTTGATTTAGCAGAAAAACTAGGACATGTACGAGGCTCTTGGGGTTCACTTTCAGAATACTCTATAATATTAAAAAGATTAGTATGCAATTTCAAAAACTTAGTACAATTATGTGCTGCAATTTCCCAATGCCGCTGTGAAGGTATCAGAGGAATCAATGATTTGAGTGCTTTATTAATTTCTTTAAGTATTGCATCATGGCCTTGATGCTGACTCAAAAGTTTGGATTGTAAAGTTATGACTCTTTCTTGGATCAAATTGCAAACTTCAGGCTTCAATCATAATATTTGCTCTTCATTATAAATCTCAATCAATCAATAAATTGGATGTCGTCGAGCAGACCAAATGGGCGCAAACGTTCTTTTAGCAGCAAGTCTTAGCGAAGGCCTATTAAAACAAACTCCAATACGAAAGTTAATAATTGCTTGCAGATAAAGAAAAATTTGTTCATATTTTAACCTATATATGGGATCAATTTGATTTTGAGTTCACTCTAAATAATCTTCAACAGAAAGATTTTTTTCAGAAATAACATATGGCCACATTAATTCAGAAGCTATTGCATGTCTATATATATTACATATCGAATCCTATGATTTATGATGATCAGAGCATTTTTTAAAGAACTGAAGTTGATTATCAGTTCGATACCCTTGGCAATAAGCAAAATCTCTTATGTCAATATTCTAGTTCAACTTGACGAATGCTTTTAACATATTCATTTCCTTATGGAGGGCATCTGGAATTAATATAAGCCAAGAGAAATCCTTCTTTATTTTCTGTATATGATGATATAGTACACCATCACAGGTAACTACAATCCATTTACGCCTATTGTCTTTAATCCCAGATATTTTACCAATATGCTCAAGAACTTTTCGAACATTAGTGATCGAATTGGGATTAATTCCTAGTGGATCAGGAACAAATATTTGTGGCGTATAAACCTCAGGAACCAAATCTTGAATATTTGATTCTTTAAACCTATGAGAATGAGAATAAATAACTAAAGACTTATTAGTAGTATTTTTAATATTAGATAATGATAATAATGATTCATTAATTTGTTGATTCATTTTATTAATTGTAGATAATTTATTATGATATTTAGGACAAACCCGCTTCTTGTTATCGATGTCAGAGGCTTGGCAAAAAGAACATTTTTTATACATCCTGTCTGGCTTTGAGAGTTTACCAGATAATCAATCATGTTTGTTTTTTGATTTTTTTCAAGAAGAAGTTCTTCTAAAACAATTGAAAGGTAGTTAGTAAGCTCTTCATGAATTTCATCTTTCATACGTGATATTAAACAAAATAACTTCTTATATTGTTTTTGGGCAAGTTCAGAATATAACCAAGGATCTGTATTCTGAATATTGCTTTGATTATAATTAAAAGCAATAAAACTCATAATGGTATGGAATATGACCATATTATGTCTATGGTCTAAGTAAATTTTTTGGTCCTTTTGCTCATTGTCAAAAGCTAAAAATAAAAAAACTTCAGAAAATAGCAGTGGCTCTACGGCCAGACTTTCTAACCAATTAGTAAACTTAGAACAACTACCAGAGCTGATAAAATGGTTGTCAATATCAATAATCATTCTTGATCTTGCTAACGAATACTTAACTGCCGAAGCGGCCAAATTAATCGCAGACACATATTTTGAGTGCCTTGATCCATATATAGTATCAATGGCTACCACATACTTGAAAAGTTTTTCACCCTCTAGTTTATAGTCTTTTTCATTATACGTAAGTGTTTCTATAAACTTTACAATGACCAGATTCTGTTCAGCAAGCCATTTGGAAGAAGAATACTCTAAAAGGCTATCTAAACAAAACCACTCTTGATTTTTATTAAACTTATTATATCTTCATACAAATTACTCCGTTTTTTTTTGGCAATCTCTATTACAGAAAGAATACGATCTTTTTGGTTAGTAAATCTTTCACTTGGTCTTTTTTTTAATGTTTCATTTTCACTTAATAATTGCTTATTATTTTTT